CCCCAAAACCCCAAAACCCCAAAACCCCAAAACCCCAAAACCCCAAATGGAATACTTTTAGTTGAAATTTATACGATACTAATCTAGGAAACATTCCATAGACTTTAGATTAGTATTTTCCAATGAAATCATCACAGAAGTTGAGGTCTTCAATTGAGATACCAATCTCTTGCTCAGTTTCTTTTAAGACTTCTCTCTCCCTGTCATTCATCTGCTCACCATGGATGTTCATAGAATTTAAGAATTTATCAAATTCAGTTTGATCTTTTTCAGGTTGCATTTCAGGAGCCTGTTCTGTATGAACAGACTCACCCATCTTTGCAAAACCTCTGATAATCTCTTGAAGTTCCTTGGTCTCTTTGATTCCTTTAGCACGAATAGACTTCTTCTCAGACTCATGTTTAAGCTTAGTCTTTTCTAACTGAGTCGTGGTGGTTTCAAGATTGCTCTCTAGCATGGCCATTTTAGACTTATGGCGTTCGAGATCTGAACGCAAACGCTTTGCTAGATCCTTATGTTTATCTATTTCAGAAACTTTAGCCTCAAGCTCCTTGATTTCTTTGACTGTTGTTTCGTACTTAGACTTGGTCTCCTTGAGTAGAGTCTCTTTTCTAGACAAGTCAGATTTCATCGACTTAGTCTTTGTATGCACAGATGTTAAAGATGACTCTGCAGTAGCAAGCTTCTCCTTCAGATCTGAGCATTGAGCCTTTAAGTCTTTAATTGTATTATTCTTTATAGATAGTTCCTTAGTCAACTTAGAGATTTTCTCAAGAGATTGCTTACTAGGCTCCACTTTTACTGGCTCTTTCTCAGCTTCAGCCTCAGCAGCTTGCTTAAGAGAAGCTATAAGATCCCTTTTTCTTGAAATATCATCTTTAAGAGATTTAATTTGCTGCTCCAACTCCTTCTGAGCTGTCTTCAGTTTCTGGTGTACCTTAGGTTCAATATAAGTATTCTTAATTCTTTGAATTTCATCTTCTAGCTTATTGATCTTGCTCTTATGCTCTTTTGTCAAAGCCTGAATTTCCTTTTTAGTGTTGCTCTTCTTGGCTTTCTGAGTCTCTGCTTTTTCTCTCTGGCTTTCAAGTTCTTCAATGAGCTCTTCTCTCTGTTCTTGTTCAGTGATCAGATTCTTATTGAGAATATGCATTTCATCTGAACATGTTATATAAGATACCTACTTGTAAGCTTAATGTTTTCTGCCTCCACTAGAGCGATTCTTCTTAAGATCTGGTGGCAATCTTGTGAGTCGAATTCTCTTTCCTCTTGAACTGGCTCAGAGTCTAAATTTTAGTATTGTAAACTTACCCTTTTTCCCTTTTTGGGATAATGAGATTTTCTTATTTTTGGCCTGAGTCGGAACTTTAGCTACTTCCTTGATCTTCTTTATTTTTAATTCCTTTTCTTTCACTTTCATCTGTGAGATTTTTAGCTTGAGTTGCTTGTTTTCTTCCTTGAGAGTTTTTAATACAGAGTCTCTTTGAGCCAAGTCGTTCATCAAGATGGTATATTCCATAGGAGATTCCTTAATGTCACTATTTGGGGTCGAATTACTTCGGTACTCCAGTTCCTTAGCAACTCTCTCCTTGAAGGCATTGTTCTGATATTCATATAGTTGGATCATCTTCTGATTAGATTCTTTAATACTCTCTATTTCTTCTTTTAATTCTTGTACTGCTTCAAGATGTTCTCTGGTATTCTCCTTGTTCTGGGCAGAAAGTTCTGCATTTTCATCCTTAAGCTTTGTAATCACTGCATCCTTTTTCTGGAGATTCTTGTCGAATTGATCTACCTCTGCTTTCATATGTTGAAGATTTTCTAAAAATTCATGCTTTTCTTGGTTCAGATGGTCGATTTCTTCAAGGTATTGGCTAATCTGGGCTTTAGATTCTTGGATCTCACTGTTGTATCGATCCTCTAGCTGTTGCCTAGTTTGCTCTATCTCTTCCATCATATCAACTACAGAATCTTGTGGGGAGTATCCTTCTTTCCTAAGCTTCTGGAGTTCAGCAGATATCTGGCTATTTTGATCTTGAAGATAGGCTACTTTTTGTTCAAGTGATTTAACTTCCTCTTCCTTAGCCTGGAGAGATGATTTCAAAGTGGCAATCTTTGAACTCTTAGTAGATTTAGGGAAAGCCTTAAATGGAACATCAACAATGTCTTCAGTGTCAGAATGATATTTGATCTCCTTGGCTTTCTGTTTCTTAAACCTTGCCTTTTTGATATCCTTAACTGGAGTTTTGACCTTCTTAGTAGGTTTCTCCAAACTACGGCCTGAAAGTACCAGCTTCTTAGACTTCTGCTCTAATTTATTTGTCAAAATATCATTTAATTTCTGCATTTTAAGTAGTTCAAGGTTGAGTGCTTCCTTGTCTTCCTTAACTTGTGAAAGTTGGCCTTCAAGGATGAGAATCTGGTCAGATTTCTCTCTGAGAACTTCATTACTCTTACCCTTAAGTGTAGAGATGTCCCTCTCTAGAGTATCTATCTTACTGAAACTTTCTTCTTGCCTTGATTGACTGACTTGTTTCTCAAGCCATTCATTTTGAGCAAGGAGCTTGCTCTTTTGAGATTCAAGAGTTTCTACTTGTTTTTGGAGACTGATCGATTTTTCCTTCTGAGTCTATGAAGTTATGCAAGCGATTTACTTGATTGTCTGACAGAATTGAGTTATTTTTCTCAAGTAGTTCCTGGATTTTTACCTCAGAGAGTTTGAGATTCTGTTGATCATTTATAATCTTGGTTACGAGTTCATCTGAGTTGAGATTTCCACCATAAGCTTCCTCAATTTTCATCAAGAGATCCTTCAGCTTCTCCTTCTCTTCCTCTAGTTGGTTTACCATTTGTTTTAATTTGTCAGTTTCACCCAGATCGAAGATATTTGAAGGAGTTTGAGAGAGAATTGAGTTTTCAAGATTTGTTTTAGTCAGTGTTTCATCTGTGTTGATTCAGTTTTTATCACTGATTCCAGATTTTAAGCAACTCAAGTCAGCCTTGATTAGTCTCATAATGTTGTTTAGCTGATCTACTTCTTCAGCAGTAACTTTTGTGTTAGAAGCAAGCTCTAAAGAGGTAGCTTTTACTCGTGCAGCAGATGAGATGGAACCTGTTATGTTAACAGAAACTTTGTCTGTAAAGTCTCTCAAAGCTTGAAGTGTTCTTTCAGTAATATCTAAAGTGTTGTTATGAATTAATTTACCAAGTTGAGATTCAAGCAATTCGAGGTACCAAACTGCTCTATCTCCTTCATCATTTGGCACATATTCGTTCTGCATTCCGACATGAAGGTCAGAGTTACTTTGGAGAAGTCTTGTAAGAGTCTTATTGAGATATTTGATAACCAATCTCTGTCCTATTTCTACAGGAGAAGAAATATCAATTGCCATAGTTGGCATATTCTGTTGCACTGATCTCATAGATTGCACACCAGTCATGGTATGGTCACCATTGAATCCCTTTCTTGAAAAATCTTTGATCTCGATTTCTCAAAGCTGATATGCTAGGACTGCAATACAATCAAGAAGGGCATGGAAATTGTTTTCATAGCCATCAACTTCTGAATTAGTTTTAATATCGCTGATCTTTGTCTTGTTGTTTCCTAAAATTTCTTCATATCCATGCATTTCCTTCTGCTTATAATATTCAAGTTGTTTCTCAATCTCTGTCATTCTTCGATGATATAATTGCTGACAGCTATCATCTGCTTCACTTTCTTGGTCAAGAATAGTTATCTCTTCTTGAGTCTTAGTCCTTCCGAAAGTATCAAAGTCCTTTGTAGTTGGGTTGAGGCTTTTTAACTTATGAATTTCATCTTCCAGATCTCTTATATATCCTTCTTTTTCATCTAAAAGTATTATCTACAACACATACCTCAATTCTCTTCTGAAATCTGAAGTTTCTGTACCAATGCCTTCATTTCACAAATCGCTTTGGCCTCTGCTCGTTTTGATTCAATGACCAGGGTGACAAACCTTGATGGGGGTATTATAAATTCCTGTGTCCCCATTTTCCCTGTTCTTCTCACTCCATTATCCCCTTCTCTTTTACCTGTTCCACTCACTGTTACCTCCTTATCCCCTCATTTCTTACTCTTCTTAACTTTCCTAGTCTCCTTCTTCTCCACTGTGACCTTCTTCTGCCCAAACTCAGCCTCAATTTCCCCCAAAATCCTCTCAGACTGGTCCAATCTTGCCTTTAACTTCCCTATAACCTCCTCTAATCCTTCTACTTTCTTCTTCAGATTCTCTTTTTCATCCAAAATCTTAGTTATTTCTTCCTGTTTTTCCTGTAAAAGTTTGTCAATATGCCTATTTTTGTCATTTTCTAACTCTTTTATTTCAGTAACATGACTTTGGTTAAAGGCGATTATTTTGTTTTGAAGGGACAGGATCTGATCGTCCTTGTCTTCGGTGTAAGCGGCTTCGGAGATGTTGAATGTGTGGTTGGGGTTGATCGAGTTTTGGAGGGGATGGGAATAGCAGCGCATGCTTTTGTTTTGGTCTTGGGGAGGTGGAGATTGAGGGTCGGAGGTATCGTGCTCTGCCGAGAGCTGGTAGACTCTCTTTTTCAGCTCTTTGTTATTTCTTGTTTGAGTATCGAGACTTTTCAATAAGTCCTTACGCTCAGAATCATAGTTGGAGATTTTTAGTTTTAGGTTTTCAATCTCATTTAGAAGGTCTTTTCACGAATTTTCTGGAAATTTAGGCTTTGAAAGCTGTTTTTCAAGGTCAATAATAATCTTTGCCTTCTCTGAATTCTGTGTTCTGAGTTTTTCTCTTTCTACCATTACAGCTGTATATTTATCCAATAAGATTTGCTCTTGTTTCTTAGTGCTAATAAGTTGTTTTTCTAGAACTTTAATCACATCAGGATCGCCGAAATCAGAAATAATCGAGACAAGGTCTGTCTTAAGATATTTCTCAAGTTCTTCAAGATGTTCTTGAACTTGTTTCTGTACTTTCTCTTCAGCAGCAAGTTTCTCTTGGTAAGTTTGAATGCTTTGCACCTTAGAGCGGTTTTCCAATTTATCAACCCGCTTTTGAAGGATTTCAACCTTCTGTGTCTTTGCATGTAAGTCTCTCATAATCTCATAGGTCTTGATTTCTTTGTGTTGGTCAATATCAGAGACTATATATTCTTTCACATAACAAGTTTCTAAATGAAGGTCTTTATAATATCTTAAGTGAGCATTTAGACTTTCTATCTCCTGAGCAAGATAGATAGACAAAGTCTCTTCTTTCAGCTTGGCATCACTGTAGATAACTTTCATTTCAAGAATCCTGTTCTCTTTCGATAACTCAATTATCTGATCAACCAGCTTCTTCTGAACTGAGAGGATATCTTCGATGTCCTCCACATTTTCTAAGCTCTTTATTCATGATAGGTCTGGCTTGACGCTAACTCTGCTACTGTTCAGGTGAGACATTCTGAGGATAGACTCTGCAAGGGAGTCTGTCTTGAGCTGAGATTTAGTCTGAACTACAGAATCCTCAAATAGCATCTTCTCTTTATCAACATAACTGGGGTAAATGTTCTTTCCAAAATCTACAAGCTTCTCATTAAATTCTTTCTTTAGCTGAAGCACCTTCTCAGCAAAAGCCTGTTTAGAGTTAGTAACCTGGGTTTTGAGCAACCGGATTTCATCTTCTTTCTTGATTAATTTCTGAGTAATATCTTGATTTTTCTTCCTCAAATGAGAAATTTCACACTGTAATTTATTTTTATCAGTTTGCAAAGTCTCAAAATCTGAGGTGAGACTACCTATTTGCTTGACAAGGAACTGGTAAGAACTCTCATGTTCGTCAAGTTTGTCATTTAGCTCTTCATTTTCAGCACAGATAGAGGTATATTCCTCCTCTTTGGATTGTAACTTCTTGAAGCATTTCTGAATTTCAGCTTCTAATTTCTTGTTAACTCCTTTATATTCACAGAGCTCGGCATTCTGAGTTAAGAATTTATCCTTCAGGCTATCTCAATTTTGATCCTGTAGAGTCTGGATGGTTTCTGTCAAGAACTCAATATTCGCCTGTTTCTCTGTGACTTCATAATTTCACTTGTCCAATTCATCCTGCTGTGTGTCAAACTTATGGGCCATTTCTCTCAAATCTTTCTCCAATTGCTTGACTTTGGCTTTATACTGGTTGATTTCTTGGCTAGATTCTTCTCTCAGCTCAGTGATTCGGCTCTGAAGCTCCTGTAGTTTTTGTTCCTTGTACCCAAGTTTGATATCAAGCTTGGCAATATTAAACTTCTCTTCATAATCCTTCTTCTCCTGAATCAGAGTTTCCTTTTCTTCTGAGAACACTGAATTTGTCGTGTTCAGTTTGTCAATATAGGATTGCCTTTCATCAGAGAGTTTAGAGTGCAACTCCTTATTCTGCCCAACAAGATTTTCAACCTCTAAGCTCAAGTGATGTACTAGTCTTTGTGATTGAACCAACTGGTTCTGAAGAATTTTCAAAGTTGAGCTAGGTTCCTCAATAGAGTTGGGAGCATCAGAAATTTCCGCTTGTATCTTTACCTTTGGCCTGGCTGAGGAATCCAAGTCGCTTGCCTTTAGATCTGATTTCTTTAGTTTATTTCCTGCATTTTTGTCCTCAGTGCTTTGGAAACTATTCAGCAGACTAGACCCAAGCAAGGCTTCATTTTGCATGAGAATAGGATTATTATGAACCAAAGATTCTATCCTTGCCATATTATCAGGTCCTTTAGAGGCTCCAAGTCCATATGATAGCTGTGATTGGCATAAATCTCCACCGATTTGGCACCTCTCTGCCTGTTTGTTATTAATTTGGCACATGAGGTTGTCATATTTATCCTGAATCTTTTCCAGATTTCCTTTCAAAAGCCTGATCTCTTTCTTTTGGGTTGAAACCTTCAAACTGAGAATATTAACTATAGATTCTTGGTCGATATCTAGGTCTTCGAGGTCTAATTTGTTCCTCAAATTTAGATTAACTTCCTCTAATTCCTTAATGCTGAGCAGTAATTCCTGATTGTAGTCCTCACAAGATTCTTTTTCTCTCAGAGCTTGTTGGAGGTTATTCTGTAGCTCAATCTCGTTTAATTCTAACTGAGAAATATAGTGTTCAAGGTTGTCCTCTCCTTCACCAATTTTGGTCTTCTCAGAATGCTTTAACTTTGAATTAAGAGATTGTAGATTTTCAATTTTTGCCTCTAAACTTTGAATAATTTGATTCTTTTCCTTAATATCATAATTCAGCTTAGATTCATAGCTCAGATTTGATTTACGAAGATCCTCGATCTGTCTTCTTTGGTCAGCAATAAGAACCTGCTGCTCTACAGACTTATCTTTCATAATATTTGAGTCAGAGAACTCTCCCTTCTTGGATTTTAATTTTATCTGGCTCCTTTTAATCTGAATATCTCCTCGAGATTTGGCTTCAGACTCAGTAGCGATAGAAATGCTATTTAGAGAAGAGTTCAGATCAATATTTTCCTTATTATTTACAGACATCCGATCTTGTTTTCTTCCAATTTTTAGAGCACGAGAGTTATTTTGGTCACCTTCTTCATTCTCATCATCCACAGAGTAAGCTAAACTAGTTGTGCTCTTCACATACTTCTTATTTTTAGAGAGGGAGCCTTGAGAGTTTTTAATAGCCTCTAATTCTTGAATGTACTCTCTTAATCTATCATTCTCTTCTACTGCTCCTGAATATTCTTGTTCAAGAACCTGAATTTTTTGAGTAAGCTCGGTCAAATCATCACCAGAAATCTGAGTCTGCTCTCCTTTTGTTGAGTATTTCTTATTAGCAAGATTACTTTGGATCTTTAGTATCTCCTTCTCCATCATTTTGAGACATCCTTGATCATCTTGATGTCTGTCCTGATAGCTCTGAATACTCTCTTGCATGTCCTTAATGTTGCTTAAGATCGTATTCTGGACAAATTCGATGTCTGAGTCCTTACTAACCTCGGCTTCTAAATTTATAGCATAGTTACAGGCTAGTAAGAAAGACATATGAACCTCCTTCACAGAATTACTTTCAGCCTCAAGGGCACTATTCTCTTCTTTCAGAGAATTGACTGTCTCTTGAAGCTGATTGAGCTTATCGATTAAACTTTCTCCTTTTTCAACAGTTTTAGATCTTTCCACAATATTCTGCATGTTATCATTTGCTAAGGAAGCGACTTTCTCTACTAACTTATTGACTTGATCTTTCTGAGACTGGTTTTCAGCTTCGAGGTCTGAGATCTTAGTGGTTTGGGCAGAAATTTGCTCTTCATATTCTTGGCACTTTTTCAAAGATTCTTCAAGGGAATTTGTAGCTGTTTCATTTCTCTCCTCTAATTTTTGCACAACTAAGTGGAAATTTTGGATCTCTTCTATCCGTGAACCAATCTCTGTGTTTAGCCGAGCGATTTCGTCATGGAAATCTTGAAGAGATTCTACATCAGTGCCATCGTTATTTATTCTGAACAAGCTCTGCTTCCTCTCAATCTCATCCATCACTTGCTGCTTGTAAGCCTCGAATTGTTGAACATCGTTCTGAAGCGTTGCTGCAGACTGGCTGAATTGAGCTATTCTTGCCTTAAGGCTTTCAATAGCGACATCTTTTGTCTTTAATATTTGGTAGATCTTCATATATCTCTGATCATGCTTGATCTTTTCTTGTTTCAGAGATATCTCAAGAACCTTGTTCATCTCAGGATCTTTTTGGTTGAGAAGTACTCTGATTTCTTCAAGGGCATTCTTTTGAGCCTTATGCTCATGTAGCTCAGTCTCTAGATTCTCGCATTTTGACTGGAGCTGAGAGATTATTCCATGAAATTCAGTTTGATTATTTGGCTGATAGACTTCATTTTCTAAATCATTTGGATAGGTTGGCCTCTCAGGAGGTGAATTTGTGTTATTCAAATTTTCCGCAACGAGGTCTGTACAATCTCAGTTTTCTGCCTGCTTCATATTCGAAGCAGGATTTTGAGGAGATTTTGCTAATAGTGTCTCTAGGTCTACATTAACATGCTTTTCTACTGATTCTTCTAAGTACTTAATAGATGAATTACCATCGTCAAAAACTTGGATATCATCTTGCTCTTTCTTATTTTCGAAATATTTTCCTTCAAGAGCATTATCAGGTTGAACAAAAACACCAATACTCTGGTTGAAATGGTCTGTTTTTACAAAAAGTCTCTCCTTAATAGGTACCTTGACGCCATTTCGCTGACCAAATGGTTTGCCAACTCTTAAGTTCACTGTAACAGCTTTGGTCTTGGAAGGTCCTAGTTCAAATTCACGCGGATTTATAGTGATCTTGTCTTCACAACCTGATTTGAGTTCTACATATGTGTTGAACTTCATATTATTTGTAATAGTCAACTTCTGGGTGTAAGTCTTCCCTTCGATAACTGAAGGAAACAATATCTCCCCTGGCTCTATCATTAATGGTTTCATTATTTGGTCAGAGCTATTTGAGCTTTCCATATTTATATTTAAATTTCCCTCCCAATGTGAATTCATTAAATGGGGTTTTGGGGTTTTGGGGTTTTGGGGTTTTGGGG